AATGCCACGGCACTCTGCCCAGGGGGACAGCTTGAGGCTCTGTCTCAAAAAAAAAAAAAAATATATATATATATATAAATGTACTCAACACTCCAATTATAATGTACGGATTATCAGACTTAGATAAAAATAATAAAACCTAAGAATATATTGCTTACGGGAAACACTTATAATGAAAGAGAAAGAAAGTAAAAGAACAAAGGAAGATATGCCATGCAGATGCTAATAATAAGAAAGTTGTAGTAGACCTGTAGTATTTAAAATTAGATTTTAGGCTATAATCCTAGCAGTCTGAGAGGCTGAGGTGAGTAGACTGCAGCTAAGACTACAGGCACGTACCACCACAATCACACTTATTTTAAAAGTATTTTGTACAGCTGGCTATAGTGGTTCATGCCTGTAATCCTAGCACTCTGGGAGGCTGAAGCAGGAGGACTTGAGCTCAGGAGTTCCAGACAGGCCTGAGCAAGAGCAAGACCTGATCTCTAATAAAAAAAGAAAAATTAGCCAGGTGTGGCAGGCACCTATAGTTTTAGCTGCTCCAGAGGCTGAGGCAAGAGGCTGGCTTGAGCCCAAGAGTTTGAGGTTGCTGTGAGCTAGGATGCCTTCTTTGAATTAATAGTCCAATTTTTACTTTAAAAAAAAAAAACCTATTATGTAGGTTTCTCCAGCTATATCACTTTAACTGTTTTAGTAGTGACTCTAGTCTTTTTAATAATACACGTCCTTGTCTACCTAAAATTAATATTATACTACTTATTTTACAATGTAAGAAGGTTGGAATGGTATAATTTCATTTAGCTCCAGTCATTTGTTGTCATATTGTGCTGTGTTTTTATTGTCATATTTTATTTCTTCATGTTATAAATCTCATAGTGCTATACTGTTGTTCTTGCTTTAAGTAATCAATCGATTTTTAGGAAATTATGAATAAATTCTTTTATATTTTCACATTACCATTTCTAACTCACTTCATTTCTTCCCCAAAGATCCATATTTCTTTGTCTCAAAAAGAAAAAAAAAAGAGTCTCTGTTATCCTGGGTAGAGTGCCATGGCCTCATAGCTCACAGCAACTCAAACTCTTAGGCTTCAGCAATCCTTTTGCCTCTGCCTCCCAAGTACCTGGGATTATAGGCATGCACCACCAGACCTGGCTAGTTTTTCTATTTTAATAGAGACTGGGTCTCACTCTTGCTCTGGTTGGTCTGGAGCTCCTGAGCTCAAGTAATCCACTGGCCTTGGCCACCCAGAGTGCTAGAATTACAAGGGTGAGCTACCACCATGTCTTACCGCTTACAGATCCATTTTTCTAGAATGATTTTCCTTTGGCTTTAAACACTTTCTCTACCATTTCTCATAGTTTGGCTCTGCTAGCAATAAGTTTTCTCAGCTTTTCTGTGAAAATGTCTTTATTTCACACTTTTTTTTTTTTTTTAAGACAGAGTCTCAAGCTATTGCCCTGGGTAGAGTGCTGTGGTGTCACTGCTCACAGCAACCTCAAACTCTTGGGCTTAAGCGATCCTCTTGCCTCAGCCTCCCAAGTAGCTGGGACTACAGGCGCCTGCCACAATACCCGGCTATTATTTGGTTATAGTTTGTCATTGTTGTTTGGGAGGCCTGGGCTGGATTCGAACTGCCAGCCTCTGTGTATGTGGCTGGCACCTTAGCTGCTTGAGCTAAAGGCGCCAAGCCATCACACTCATTTTTAAAGGATACTTTCACTATAATTTAGAATTTTAGGTTTATAGAATAATGGCATGGTTATGTTTTTCAAAAGAATCTTCATTTCTTACAGACATATACTGAAATATTTGTTTAAAACCAGGTACAGTAGCTCACACCTATAACCCGAGCACTCTGGGAGGCTGAGGCAGCAAAATTGAGCTCAGCAGTTGGAAACCAGCCTGAGCAAGAGCAAGACCCCATCTTTAAAAATAGCCAGGTGTTGGGGCAGGTGCCTGTAGTCCCAGCTACACGGAAGCCTGAGGCAAGAGAATCTCTTGAGCCCAGGAGTTTGAGGTTGCTATGAGCTATGACACCGCCATACTCTACTAAGGGTGACAAAGTGAGACCCTTCTCAAAAAAGAAAAAGAAAGGCTCAGCGCCCATAACTCAGTGGTTAGAGTGCTGGCCACATACACTGAGGCTAGGGGTTCGAACCCAGCCCGGGCCTGCTAAACCACAATGACAACTGCAACAAAAAAACAGCCAGGCATTGTGGCAGTCTCCTGTAGTCCTAGCTACTCCGGAGACTGAGGCAAGAGAATCGCCTAAGCCCAAGAGCTGGATGTTGCTGTGAGCTATGACGCCACAGCACTCTACCAAGGGTGACATAGCAAGACTCTGTCTCAAAAAAATAAAAATAAAAAAAGAAAGAAAAGCCATCTTAAAAAAAAAATGGTAAAATCAAAGTATAGGCCAGGCTCAGTGGCTTGTGCCTGTAATCCTAGCACTGTGGGAGGCCATGGTAGGAGGATTCCTTGAGGCCAGGAGTTTGAGACTAACCTGAACAGAGTGAGACACTGACTCTACAAAATATAGAAAGATTAGCCAGGTGTGATGGCATTTACCTGTAGTCTCAGCAACTTGCGAGGAGGATTGCTCAAGCCCAGGCGTTTGAGGTTGCTGTGACCTATTATGAGTCTACTACACTCTAGCTCAGGTGACAAAACAAGGTCATGTCTCAAAAATAAATATATAAATGATAAATAATATGATATCTGCCATATCAGGAGAGACATAGATGAAATAAAATTGGAATATGATAAACTTTCAATATGTGTACAAGGGATTCATTATACTTTTTTAATAAGTTTTTAAATTTTATTTTTATTCTTAGAATTTAAAGTTAAAATCTAAAGTTCCTGATAGCCTTTTTATATTTATTTGCCAGAATGGTAGCTGAATGGAGGTTATCTCGAGGTGTTGAAGAACAGACACAAGCTTTCTTTGAGGGCTTTAACGAAATTCTTCCCCAGCAGTATTTACAATACTTTGATGCAAAGGAATTAGAGGTAATAATATTTTCTTCATTCTCCTGCAGCATGACAGTAAATAATGCCTTCAGATGCCTGCTTTCAACTTGTTTTGCTTTCTTGCCAGTTGTGGTAGTATATTTTTGCTAGCAAGATGTTTTGAAGCATCCCCAGAGATTATAGAAAACCACTGTTCATCCGAAAATAAGAATATTACTCTTCCCAGAATACTTAGGGCTTCTCTACAATTGAGTGACTAATTTCTCTAAATATGTATACAATGTAACACCATATGTGGAACTTTACCTTCATGAGTAATTCTTTTTTTTACTGATTCTTTTTTTTAATATATATTTATAAAATCATAGCAGTGTACATTAATACTATTATGGGGTACAGTGTACTGTTTCTATATACAATTTGAAGTACTTTCATCCAACTGGCTAACATAGCCTTCATGTCTTGTTCTTAGTTATTGTGTTAAGACATTTATATTTTACATTTAGAGAGATTCACATGTACCCTTATAGGATGAACCATAGGTGTGATCCCGCCAATCACCCTCCCTTCACCCACCCTCCCCCCATGAGTAATTCTTAATATACAATTTACAAACCAATGCCTACTGATTAATTTTTTTAAATAAAACTGTTTAATATTCATCTTGTCTATATAGTTAGGTAACTAAAGGAACAATTTGTCTTTTTCATCCCTAAAGGTCCTTTTATGTGGAATGCAAGAAATTGATTTGAACGACTGGCAAAGACATGCCATCTACCGTCACTATACAAGGACAAGCAAACAAATCATGTGGTTTTGGCAGGTTTGTGTCTAAATTTATTTCTATTGGTATTTTTTAGAATTTGCTTAGCACATACAGAAATAAGTCACAGAACAAAATGTTTTCAGGCCCTTCAGTTCATCCTATGTGTTATAACAAAATGAATACAGATTATAACAGCATTCTTTTAAGACTGTTGCCAGGTAAGGCACACATACCTTGTACCTTTGCCCACAGAGACTAAAATAATTTCCAGTGATAAGACTTAAATGCCTTTGATTTAAATGCTTTTGGAATTTTTTTGGACGATCTAAAGAATTGTTTTTTATCATGCATACCTCATTTTAAGAATTAGATAATGTGAGAAGGTTAAATTTAAGAGACTTGGTTTATAATCATAATGGCATCTCCCAAACAATGTCTGCTGTACGTATAGGAAAAGATCCTCACATGCTCAACATCATTAGTCATTAGGGAAATACAAATCAAAATCATAGTGAAATACCACTCTGTGCCCATTAGTATTTTTTTTAAAAGGAAAATAACAGTTGTTGACAAGTTGTGGAGAAATTGGACTCTTGATGCATTGCTGGTGATAGTATTAAATTATATACCACTGTGGAAAATAGTATGGCAGGTCCTCAAAAATTTAGATGTAGAATTAATGTAAGATCCAAGAGTTCCACTCATAGGTATAGTACCCAAAAGAACTGAAAGCATAGACTCAAACAGATATTTGTATACCAGTATTCATAGTGGTGTTATTTAAGATCACCAAAAGATGAAAACAACCCAAATGCCTATCAGTGGATGAATGGATAAAGAAAATATGGTACATATGTTCCTTAACTTATGATGGGGTTATGTATGGATGGACCCAGAATTAAGTCAAAAATGTCACGAGTCAAAAATGCATTTAAGGCTTGGTGCCTATAGCTCAGTGGCTAGGGCGCCAGCCACATACACTGGAGCTGGCGGGTTGAAACCCAGCCTGGGCCTGCCAAACAACAATGACAACTATAACAAAGAAAACAGCAGGGTATGTGGTGGGCGCTTGTAGTTCCAGCTACTTAGGAGACTGAGACAAGAGAATCGCTTAAGCCCAAGAACTGGAGGTTGCTGTGAGCTGTGACACCACGGTACTCTACCCAGGGCAACAGCTTGAGACACTGTCTCAAAAAAAAAAAAAATTTAAATACCCTGATTGTAAAGTTGAAAAATCTGAATTTGAACCAGCATAAGTCCAGGTGTTCTTTAATTTACATTGAATTTACATCCCAGTAAACTCATTGTAAAGCAAGCAAACAAAAAAATCTCAAGTTGGAGTCTATCTGTAATGCAGTGTTTTTTGGTCAAAAAAAAGAATGCATTAGTAACCCTTAAAAACATGATGAATTTTCATAAGTGATAGCCAGGCACTAAGGGACAAATATTGTATTATTCCACTTACGTGAGGTTGCTAGAAGGTAAATTCATAGAGGCAGAAACTAGAATAGAGGTTTTTAAGGGCTATAGGGAGGAAGTCATGTTTAATGTGTAGCTGTGTACTTTTTGTTTGGGATGATGAAGAAGTTCTGGAATAGGAGGGCATTGTGGCAGGTGCCTATAAACTCAGCTACTCAGGAGGCTAAGGCAAGAGAATCATTTAAGCCCAAGAGTTTGAGGTTGCTGTGAGCTGTGACGTCATGGCACTTTACCAAGGGCGATATAGTGAGACTCTGTCTCAAAAGAAATAAAAAGAAAAAGTTCTGGAAATAGTGGTGATGGTTACACAGCAGTGCAGATGTACTTAATTCCATTGAATTATTCACTGAAAATGGTTAAAGTGCTAAATTTTATGTTGTACATATTTCCCCTGATCAAAAAATTTTAAAAGTCTGCTACACATGTAAAGAAGTTAATATGAGAAACTCAAAGATGAACTGAGCTTCTGTAACAAATAGCATTAGCATTTTTAAGATAATTGGCAGTGATACAGTAGGATAAATGTTATTTCTTAAAAAAAAAATTGGCCGAGCCAAGATAATTAATGCTATACGCTTGAAACATTCATTGGAAACTTAATGTTTTGAGTCAATTGTAGAAAACAAAAGCCACATAATTCTGGCTACACTGAAACCTATACACATAGAATATTGAGATGTTGTGATATAGCTGGATCAGAATTCTGTGAGCTTGATTTCAGTTGTTTATAAAACCTCCAAGTCTATACTGACTCACATTCTTGTCATTTGTATGCACATGAATGTCCTATAGGACAAGCAGATCCCGGGAGGGAAAGGGGGTACTGCCCTAGAATAGCTTGAAACTGCATGAATAGGAAACTCTCAGGCCCAGACCATCCTCCTTTATCTATCTCCCTTTAAAGATGTAGTCCTGAGAATTACGGGAAGGTTGATGGGGCTTTGACAAACCTGGAAATGCCTTCTTCATCCATATTGTTGGAGAGAGTCATTATCTAGTGCATAGATACTGTGGGTTCCTTTATGATTTGAAATAATCATTTTTCTTTCTTGTTTAATTTGGTGAAGGTAATATGTGACCTACATATCTCTTTAAATATGCTTTTGACAGTTTGTTAAAGAAATAGATAACGAGAAGAGAATGAGACTTCTGCAGTTTGTAACTGGAACCTGCCGATTGCCAGTAGGGGGATTTGCTGATCTCATGGGTATGTATACAGGGTCACTTTTCCTATACAGAAAATTGTGTACTACACTACTTTTAATAAATATGTGTACAACTTATCACAAAGACAAAGATAGCCATTTTCTTAATTTGTCCCAGTTATTTTGCATTTGTATAACCTTTTAAATCATTTTATAGCCCTTATCTCTGTAGAAATTTTGGGGGGGGGGGCTTTTTTTTTTTTATTGTTTTTATTTTATTTAACCGGGTTTTTTTTTTTTTAATTTCAGGTTAATGTGAAGATATAAACAACTAGGTTACAATGTTTGCATTTAGCAGGTAGAGTCCCTCTTTAACTGCATCCTGTACCCAAGAGTTGTGCCATATACCCTTACATTGTGCCCATTAAGAAGGAGCATACCAATCCGCCTTCTCTCTTCTGTAGAAATTTTTTTTTTTGAGACAGAGCCTCAAGCTGTCCCCCCTGGTTAGAGTGCTGTGCCATCACAGCTCACAGCAACCTCCAACTCCTGGGCTCAAGTGAGTCTCCTGCCTCCATCTCCCAAGTAGCTGGGACTACAGGCGTCTGCCACAAGGCTGGCTTTTTTTTTGGTTGCAACTGTCGTTGTTTGGTGGGCCCGGGCTGGATTCGAACCTGCCACCTTAGGTGTATGTGGCTGGCACCTTAGCCACTTGAGCCATAGGC